GCAGCGGCTATGAGTCATGGTGGGAAAACCCGAGAAGTAGCCGGTGAATAGTTCCGTTGCTAAGATACGGCGGGCATTGGAATGCGGATACGCTTGGTTGCTAGGGAAGGCGGCACATTGGAATGTGATAGCAGGTGGTGGGCTGCTGCGCAGTTAGTTTGTAGGGGAGACATCCACTACAATACTCCCTCTCCCCTCCAGGCGGTGTAGGAGACTTGTTGTTTGTAGAGTTGCTTAGCACATGTGAGGAAGACCGGGCGGTGCATGCCTCATGTGAGACAACGGCGATGGCGTGATGAGCCGATCGCTGAAATACAACTGTCTAGATACACACGATCTGTGGGAGAAGGGAGAAAAAGGGTGTGTGGAGGCGATGAATGTTCTTCCCTCACGACAGGTACAGGGTCGTCAGATGCGCCTGCTGGGGTGTGTGTGGGCCTGGATCAGGAGCAGGGGCTGGGTCAGCAGAAGCGGATTAGGGCTCGTGACAGCAGCTGGGTCCACGACAGCAGCAGGGTGCAGGACATTAGCAGGGAGTACCTGAGGGAGAAAAGAGGGGGTGTGGAGGCGATGGATGTTGTGTGCTTCCCTCACGGCAGGTACTGCTGGGTCGGCGTCTGAGGCAGGACGGGTGTGCTGGGGTCGTCAGAATGTGGTGCGTGAGGCAGGAAGAGGAGCCGGTGTCTGCTTGAAGAGTGGGAGCGTGATCAGTGTCTCCTCCATCCTGTGTGAGTGCTAATCTCCGGGAGTCACCATTGTAGGGGTATCGAGATATTATTGTTGTCTAGCACTCAGGATGGAAGGAAACTCTAATGTGGTTTTCTTGTATAATATATAAGTTATATGATAGACAGTCTGGTGCTGGAGGTGCTGTGTGGTGAGGGGCTGCTTGGTAGAGACGTGCGGTGAGTAGCTTGTTGAAGGAGGTAGATGTGCAGGAGCTTCGTTAGAGAAGATGTTGCCTGTTGCTGGCCTCCTGATTGAATGAAATGTTAACAGCGTGGAGCTTGCTGGAGGAGGTGTTGCTTGTTCAGGAATTTGGGCAGAATGAGAGTTGGTTGGTGAGGAAGCTCAGAGAAGGACATGCTCGCTGGCGGGAGCGAGGACCGCCAGGCTGGTCGCCAGGCAGCAGCAGAGAGGGAAGTGTTGTGTTCAAAGATGGTCTGAGCTACAGATCTCAAAGGGAGAACCAGAGCTTACCCGCAGCAGCTGCCAAGTCATAGTAGAAAACCGAAGTAGCCGGTGAATAGTTTCAAATAACAAAGATGGTAACATCTGGTTGGTTGCTAGGAAGGCGGCACATTGAATGTGATGGCGGTGGTGGGCTACTGCGCAGTTAGTTTTAGAACGTCCACTACGTGAAATATCCGTTCCGACCATTCAATCCGTTCATCTATTAATCGTTCAATTGAAATGTCCGTCAGCTCGATATCCGTTCGGTCAAATGTCGTCAGTGAAACATCAAATCAATAAAATGCCATACATTATCTGTCCACCACAGTTATCTAATAGTGACACTGCTGCCATGACATCACACAAATTGACCAAGTCCCAAGGACATGACTGACTTTCTACTCAATACAATTCAGGTCTTTGTTTCTCTTACTATTAAACCAAAACAACAATATTTCTCTTATTTAAAATTTTTTAATTTTATTATTTCTATTATTAGTATTATTAATAGTGTTATTATACCCAATATTACAACTTATTATTATTATTATTATTATTATTAATAACTATATTATTATTATTATTATTATTATTATTATTATTATTATTATTATTATTATTGTATTTTCAAATTTGTATTTTTATTTACTAAAATTATCATCATCATCATCATCATCATCATCATCATCATCATCATCATTATTATTATTAATATTATTATTATTATTATAATTATGAAAAACAAAAAAAAAAAAAAAAATATTATTATTATTATTATAATTATTATTATTATTATTATTCCCAAGTCCGATTTGGGTCAGTGACGATAACCGGGTGGGCTAATCCCATTAAAATTAAATACAAATAATAGCAATAAAATACAAATGTATGGCAGGAAATAGGTTTGGCAACAACGATAACAGCTACCGTCCAAACCAATGACATCAACATCAGAACAGATGCAAAAATTTCCTGGACTATAAACTTTCAGGAAGACTAGGTAAAAGATTAAATATAATGTTGTCTAGCACTCAGGATGGAAGGAAACTCTAAGGTTTTTCTTATATAATATAAGTTATATGATAGACAATCTAGTGCTGGAGGTGCCGTGTGGTGAGGCTGCTCAGTAGAAACGTTCGGTGAGTGGCGTGTTGAAGGAGTAGATGTGCAGGAGCTTCGTTAAGAAGATGTTGCCTGTTGCTGGCCTCCTAGTTGAATGAATGCTGGACAGCGTGAAGCTTGCTGGAGGGAGTTGTGTGTTCAGGAAGATGGGCAGAATGAATCTCAATGGAGAGACAGAAGCTAATACCCAACAGCCGCCAGTCACCTATGAATCATGTTGGGAAAACCAGACAGAAAGTCATGGTCACTGGTTTCGTTGCTGCTAGGATCGGTAACATCTGTAGCCCCTTTCAGCTCCTCCAGCTTAGTTGCTAGGAAGATACGTAGCATCTGGTGGCCTTACTCAGATTGTGAGGAGAAGTTCACCAATACTCCCCTCCCCTGGCAGGGAGGCTGGTTTGATCAGGTTGTGTCCCACATACCCGAACTGGTGTATGTACGACTCGACCTCGTGTAACAACTCCGTCCAGTGACCAAAACCTGTGGGAGAATTGGGAGGAAAGGGTTTGGGATTAAGAGGTTGTACAAGCAATGGTTGTTGTGCCCTGCTGCCAAGGGCTGCACGTCAGGAAGAGGTCCATGGCAGGAGCAGGTTCTATGATAGAAGGAGTCTATTACAGGTTCAGGTTCTGCAACAGGAGGAGGGTCTATGACAGGCGCAGGTTCTACAACAGGAACAGGGTGTACATGAGGGTGAAAAGAGGTGCCAGAAATGTCGTGGGCGTGGTGTTGCTGCGGTGGTAACTCTGGGTGGTGAATTGCGAAGTGGTTGTTGATGGTGCTGCTGGGCTGGGGCCCGACGGGTGGATGGCCGTTTGGCTCGGTCTATGTGACGGTGTCATATCTGCCATTGGATAATTATCAGGAACTTTACTGAACAGGTAACCACCTGGAAGGTCCATCGTAAGGCGTTGAATGGGTTGCGGTGAGCATCATGCCTGACAACACTCGTGAAGTAGTGCAGGAGGGATGTGTCAGGCACCGAGAAATGGGGTGGCGTGGAGCAGTAGCTCTGATCAGAAACTGCTTATGGCTTTGGAGTAAGTCATGACGAACGGCTGGAGTGGATTTAGTTGGGATCAGGAGGTAGAAATCCCCGGGTAGCGAAGGGGCTCACCTAGTGTCAGATCTGCTGGGCTGAGTCCATATCCTCCTTGTGGACTCACGGATGCAGGGCACTAAAAGCGCATCAGTCCAGCTGTAAGGGTCGTGCTGTGCCTTGGCGCGTCCTTCAGCTGCCAGTGAAAACTTCTACCATGCGGTGGCAAGGGTGGTATGCTGGTGCGTTATCTAGAACGATGCCGAGAACTGTGGGAGGTGCTGCCAGAGTTGTGACTCAAACTGTACTCCTCGGTCAGTGATTACGGTTGCGGGGCAAACAGAAACCCAACCGGACATGGACGGTAGTCTCTGCTGTAGCGTTGGGCATCAGGAATTGCTTCTGTCCACCTGGGTAAACGGTCGATGCAGGTGAAGATGCTGCAGTGCTACCGTGGGATGATGGTAGAGGTCGAAATGTCGGTGTACTCATAAGCGTCAACCTTTAGGAATAGGGAAAGGTTTGTAAGGGGCCAATATGCGGCGATGTCTTTGGAGGACTGGCAGGCCAGGCACCGACAGCCATTTCTTAATATCAGACTTGATGCCGGGCCAGACGACACGTTGCGTGAGGGGAGGCGCTGGGGTACTTACGGGTGCTGAGACCATGGATCACGGTCGAAACAATGGCGGTGGGAGGCACAAACGGTCTAGGCTGTCCGGGATCCGTCGCTTTCCAGAATTTTATCTTTGTGCCAGAACAGGAGTTCTTGGATTATGAGGGCCTGGGGATGTCTTGTATGCTGCAGGTCTTCGTCTTTTCTCTTGAGCAGCAGCTAGCTGCCCATAATCAATAGGTGGAATGAGAAGAATGGTGGATATACAGAGAGAGGGCGTCAGCGATCTCGTTGTGGCTACTGCTCTAATGTGTTGGACGTCGCTGGAGACTCTGAGATGTAAGCCAAGTGGCGCAGGACAAAGTGTGTATGTGACTGGGAAGCTGAAGCGGCGTGGACAGGGAAGCTTGTGATCAGTGAAGATGGTGAACAGCGGGCCTCGAGGAAGTGCTGAAATGTTTGACAGCCAAGTATATAGCCAGGAGTTCTCGATCAAAAGCGCTGTACTTGAGGGTGTGGTGGTTGAACCCTTGTGAGAAGAAGCAACAGGCATGAAAAATTCCGTTGATCTCCTGCTGTAAGGAAAGCGCCCTGCAGTGAAGAAGAAGTGTCTGTTGTGAAATGGTCGGGCGTTGGGTGCGGGGTGGAGCCGGAGGGTGGCGTGTGTGTAACATAGTGGTGAATACCGTGGCAGCCTCTTGGAAGTCCACCAGAGAGACTTGTGGAACCTTTGGAAAGTATGAGAGGTCGTATGTAGAGACTGGAACGATGGCAGCTTTGTCAATGAAGGTGGTAGTGGTTATTAGACCAGGAATTCTCAGGTTTCTTCGCCGTTTCAGGTTTGGGGAACTCCTAATCACGATTATCTTCTGTAGTGAGGGTTGTATACTACACTGGCAGACTCTGTGACCGAAATCGACCGAGGTTCCAAAGACCTTAGCAGGATGAACATTTTATTTGTTGTTACGGAGGCGTTGGAGAGGAGTTAGCAGGTGGTGGCGATTGCTCGGCAGGGCGTCGAAGATGCGACGGGGATGTAAATCAATGTAGATGGTGACAAAATCGGAGTCCATGAAACATATGGTCCATGAACCTCTGGAAATCTGTGCTGGCGTAAGCTAAAAACTCATGAAATTATAGAAGAGTCAAACAGAGTAGTGATGGCTGTCTTCTGGGTATCTCAGTGCTACTGGGATCTGGTGGAGCCGCTCCAAGTCGATCTTGAGAAGATAGTCTTGCCATGAAGTTTATGGTGAAGTCCTGGACATGCGGAATAGAATTGCCTGTCAGGTTTGGTGACAAGATTCAGGGCTCTGCAAGTCGCCACACCCTCCTCGCCAGGTGTTGCTTGGGAACCATGTGAAGAGGCGATGCCCGGACTCCTTGGAAAGGGCAGATGATGCCGTCTTGCAGTAGTTGTTGAATTCTCTTGGCTGTGTTCAGGGCTCAGGGGCGCGGCGAGGGCGTGAAAAGACTGGTGGTCCTTTGGTTTTCGATGTGGTGAAGAATTCGATGTAGGTGGTGAAGTTATGAGAACATTTTTAAAGTTGCATGGTAGATACCTCTCTGTTCGTGATTCAGTAAGATGTGTTCAATATGCTTTAAGCTCAAATTGTTGTATAATTCAGGCAATTTCAGGTCAAAAACAATTCAGCATTCAAACTTAAAGGGTTTTATGAATTCCTAGACACTCCATACCTTCTACAATGCATTACGCTGTTGTGAGTTAGTTATAGAATGATGAGGATGCCCTCTGTGAATTTCTTTAGCAAGTTGCCAACATGAATTCACTTGCACAAGTAGGTGGAGTCTATACAGACCTCAATGTCTGAACATGGGCAAACAACCTTACATATTGAACATGGTCCAAGACTAAAGAACCATGTACAAGCTGCCCAATACACTCTACATATAAAGCAAAGTATTCTCTAATGGAACTCTAAAATAACATAATAGTTTCTCAGGATGTGACACTGTCATCCAGAAATTAAACAAGGACTTTCTTGCTTCTCGTTCAATACCCTGCACAATGTCCAGTAACATTAGCATAAATATAGTTCTGCAACAAGATACCAGACTATAGAGGATGACCTGAGGCGTGTCATGTTTTACATGTGATGCCTTAATGAATGAGTTAAATAGTGACAGCAGGTGCAATTTGAGCGTTGATAAATCACCTCTCCATGCACAATGTCCAGCCAATGTCCCAATAACCTTAAAATTAGCCATTTTACATGCGAAACCTCTAACAAATGATGATAACTAGTCTTTAACAAGTCTCTAAGCCAAATATACCTTTCCATGCAACTTCCTGCATTTGGTTATTGATCTCTTTTTGTAAGTCTAAGAAATACATTTTATCAATCAATAGCGTCATAGAATGTATTAATATTATAATAATATAACAATTAATAATAAATATAATAATGATAAATAATAAAAAATGGATAATACAATATATAAAATAAATAATGTAAATTAAATAATAATTATAGAACGACAAATTTAATTTTTTCATAAACATAGTTCAAACAACTTCCACGGTAATTTGAAAGCTAGTTTCCAAATCTAACGGCAAAATTCTCTAGCACGTACTGAGTTATATATCCTAAGCTACTGTGCGAT